CTGTGACATGACCTGGTTTGAAGTGACGTAACCCAAGCCGCCATGATGAGCCCTTCTCACTGATCGTAATTATGATCAATAAAAGGTATCTAATTATGTCTTTCACCAGGAGATATGCACCAGCTGTTATTAAACATCGAATTACTTATTAATTGATATGTTTTTGTAAGCAAGTAAATGTTTTATGTAAAATATTGCTAAAATGAATTGATGTATGCCGATATGCGCACACGTGTGTGTCATGTGTAATCAGATAATTCAAAGAAAACAAGCAACAAAATACACATTTTACGTAGTTTCTTCTTGGTTGTAAATATCATTTTACATCAATGAAAAAAAAATCAAAAAATATATTTAAAAAAAATATATTCGGAGATCGATTTTCGGAGCATGAACATCGTTTTTTTTCCAGATTTTTTGGGTGCGCAAAATATTCGAGTAGAAGCTTTTTTCCCAATTTTCAGCCTCAATAAGTACCTGCGCAAATTACACAGGTGCGCAAATTACATGGGTTTTTACGGTAATTTAAATGTTTATACATATTTTACTAAATGTGACCTTGAAAGTGGTTCAAGGTCATTCAAATGAAAAAAGCTTGATAGCCCTTCATTTAAGCACGCTACTAACCACATATCAACATTCTAGGCCTTATGGTTTTTCAGAATAGGTCGTTTAAAGTTTTAAAAATATTTAACCCCTGTGACCTTGAATATGAGTGAAGGTCATTCATTTAAACAAGCCCTTTATCCTTGAATGCTACTGGCGTGATATCATCATCCTTAGCCTTTCAGTTATTCAGAAAAAGTCGTTTAAAGATTTTAACATAGTTGACCCATGTTACCTTGAATATAAGTCAAGGTTATTCATTTGAGCAGACTTGGTAGCCCTTCAAATAAGCAAGCTAATGGACAAATATCAACATTCTGGGCCTCATGGTTATTCAGAAGAAGTCGTTAAAAAGATTTTAAACATATTTGACCCCTGTGACCTTGAATATGGGTCAAGGTCATTCATTTGAACAAGCTTGGTAGCCCTTCAACCCATCATGCTACAGGCCCAATTTCAGTACCCTGGGCCTTTTGGTTATTGAGAAGTAGTTTGAACATTTTAAGACATTTGACCCTGTGACTTTGAAAGTGGGTCAAGGTCATTCATTACAACAAACTTGGTAGCCCTTCATCCTAGCATGCTACAGGCCCAATATCAGTACCCTGTGCCTTTTGGTTATTGAGAAGAAGTTGTTGGAATATTTTAAGACATTTGACCCCTGTGACCTTGAAAGTGGTTCAAGGTCATTCATTTGAACAAACTTGGTAGCCCTTCATCCCAGCATGCTACTGGCTAAATTTTATCATCAGCCTGAGCCTCTTGGTTATTTAGAAGAAGTTGTTTTAAGTAAAAAGTTGACGCCAGATGGACGCCGGACGGACGCCGGACACCGCACCATGCCAGGTGAGCTAATAAGTGCACGTGGGTTCCACTGTATTTCTACTCACTTTGGTCCATACATCATACAGAGGGTACACAGATAGCCATTGGTCAGTCCAAGCAGCAGTATAAACACGATGGGATACACATCACTGGTAAAAACAACAGGTAGATGGGCACGTGGCTGAGCATTACACAACATAAGGAGAGGAATAAATGCCACACGCACTAAAGATACCACCAACAGCAATCTTGACTGGGAAATCTTAGGCTGAAATAACAAAGCAATAAATATACAAACATAAGAATGTCATCACTCATGAGGAAATAAATATGTGATGTATCATTGATGTCCTTGGTGAAAATTTTTGCATGACTCTGAGAATGGCCTATTTTGCATTTGATTATACAATGAGATGAGAAATCTATCTGGACAGTTGATAGGTTTACATCAATATAACAGCGTTTTTGGCAAGTAGTTTCCTTAATAGTTACAAACATTGTAAAGATAAAATAGTACAAGAGGCCCAAGGGCCTTAGCGGTCACCTGAGTTATATCATAGGTACTGGTAGCTTTATTTTTTGTTTATATGTGATGTGAAAATCAGCATGTAAACTAAGTGAAATACAATATTTGTCATGTCATCAAAGGATAAGAATTTGAAAATATTGGTAAATGTTCCCTTTGGGGCCCCGCCCTAGCCCCTGGGGATCGGGCAGGAATCCTAATTTTACAATGTAATACCCTCATTCACCAAAGATGATTCTGACTAAGTTTGAGAATTTTTCTGCTGAAAATGGATAAAATATACCCAAAAGTGTTATTTCCCTATATAAACTGTAGTTAACTTTACCCCCTCCCCAAGGGAGAACGTATAGCTCGGGGGTCCTGAAATTTACAATTTAAATAAAGCCCTTGATGATCTTTCTTTTTATGCAATGAAATTGAATGTAGTACCTGGGAGTCTGGAGAAGAATATTTTTGAAATATTGGTTAATTTTCCCTTTGGGGCGCCCTGGCCCCTAGGGTTGGGGTAGGAATCTCAATTTTACAATTTGAAACCATCTTCCTCTAAGGATAATTCTCACCAAGTAAAAATAATTTCCTACAGAAAGTTGTCAAAATATACCCAAAAGTGTTATTTCCCTATATAAACTATAGTAAACTTTACCCCCTCCCCAAGGGAGAACGGATAGCTCGGGGGTCCTGAAATTTACAATTTAAGTAAAGCCCCTGAAGATCTTTCTTTTCATGCAGAGAAAATGAATGTAGTACCTCTGGGTCTGGAGAAGAAGATTTTTGAAATATTTGATTAATTTTCCCTTTGGGGCCCCGCCCTGGCCCCAGGGGTTGGGGTAGGAATCCCAATTTTACAATTTTGTAGCCTCATCTACCAAGGATGATTCTGACCTAGTTTGAAAAGAATCCATCCACTGGTTCTTGAGAAGAAGTTGAAAATGTAAAAAGTTTACGCACGACGGACGACGACGGACGGAAAGTGTGGTCTATACTCAAATGGAAAATATAAATGTTTTTATTTTTTTTAGCCCCGGGCCTCAATAGCTCTGTGGAGTCCTATACCAGTTTATTAAAGGAGTACAAAGATACAAGCTACAAGAAGGACTATCTATTCTGTTTGGGTTTTTAAGACACTTGGTTATGGCATTGGGATCTCCACTGTTTCCGTCTAGACCCAATTTGGTTCAAATCCCTCTATTTGTATTGAATGAGAAGATATTTATGAGCATAATTTCCCCAATTGGGCCCCCAAGGAGGAGGGGGGAACACACCCTCCATTTTTATAAAACTTAATTGTCTTCGCCTGCAGGTTCTCTGGACCAAAATTGGTTGAAATCTCTTCATTCATATCAAAGGAGAAAGATTTTAAAACAGTTTCCTTTATTTTCCCTATTGGGCCTTGCCCCTCTGCCCTAAGGGGGCCATACCCTCCTTTTATACAAAATCTATTCCAAATTTGTTTACAGATGATCTAACATAAATTTAGTGATAATCCCTCTATTCACACAGGAGTAAGCTTTCAAAATAGTACATCTGTTTCCACTATTGGGCCCTGGGGTAACAGCCTCATTTTATACAAAATTTAGTCCTCTTTCCATAAGGCTGCTCCAGATCACATTTGGTTTAAATCCATTGATTTGTACAGGAGGAGAAATATTTTTTCTCTGTTCCTCTCATTGGATCCCACCCTCTCCTCAGAGGGGCCAAATACTTTTTTTTATACAAAATTGAGTCCCCTTTGTCCCAAGGCTTCAGGACACATTTTGTTAATTGATAAGGAAGCAAAATATTTTAAAGCTTTACCTCTATTTTCCTTATTGGGTCTTGCCCCTCTACCTTAAGGAGAAACACACCCTTCCTTTACACAAAATTGAGTCCCCTTTGTCCAAAGATGCTCTAGAACAAATCTGGTCAAAATTCCTGCATTTTTTTAGAAGATTAACCTCTTTTTCCCCTATCACGCCCCACCCATCTGCCCCCGGGGGGGGGGCACACCCTCCATTTATACAAAATTGAGATCCCTTGGCCAAGGTTGCTCCCGACTAAATTTGGACAAAATCCACTGAGCCCTTTAGAACTGGTTTTGTTTAACAGGAAAAAGTTGTTGGACAACAGATGGCCCTTTGGGCCTGGTGAGCTGGACTCCAACCATTCGTTTTATAAAGACTTCAATATTACTTGTGTTTTATATAAAAACTCCCAAATTGTTAAACAACGGGTTACACACAATGACACTACTCACCCACTGGAACTGGCCACTAACAATCCGTCCGGCATAATCTCCCAAATTAAACAACAGGAAACACACAATGACGGTGAAGTATTTCCCTGAAAAAGAAAATCAAAGAACTGAAAACGAAGGTGACAGAGGGAATAAGATAAATATGGCCATTTTTGGAATGGGAAACAAAATAAAGACAAAGTGCCAATTGAATTTGAGAGTTAACGGAATGGTAAAAGTGTTCAAAGAATTTAGTTGAGGTTATTGCTTGGGTAGAGATATTAACTGAAATACTACGATTTTGAAGAAAACTTATTTGAAACTTTATGCAATAGGGCTTTTACTAAATCACACATTTTATTTCAACTGGAAGTTGTGTGAAGTGACGACCTACTCAAGACAAAGAATCCAAAGGGAATATATGGGTTTTTTGGTAGAGGAATATGAAGTTGTAGAAGTGATATTTCATTCTACCAAGGTTTTAAATTATACCTTACATTTAGGTCGATTTGAGACCAGGGTAATACAGTTTATTGACCGTTTGTTTAGGGTTTTCATTCTATTTATGTACATCTTACCAATAGGTGGCTTATGTATCACTGTTTGAAGTGATGACAAAAGCTTGCTTGTTATTTATGTTAAAAATAAATTGTTAACAACTATTGTCCTTATTAAACAAGAGTACCGCGGTGCTGAACAATATACGCCCGTTGAATACCATATAGTGTTATATACTTTC